GCACGGCCCCGGTACAGCTCTGGGCCCGGTGGCGCTGGACCAGGCACGGCACCGGTACTGCGCCGGGTCAGGGGGCACCGAGCCGCTAGACCACCGGGCTGGCACTACGGTGCGGCTCCGGGCTGCTCCGGGCTCTGTATGGCGTCACACGCAGGCCTTGTGCTGGCACCGGCTGGGGACCAGCACCCAGCGGCAGCACGTGGCCCGGGGGGCACCCACCGCAGCGGGGCACCCACCGCGCTCCAGCATTGGCACAGCCCAGGTTCGCCCCTGGCGAAGGCCCCACGCAGGGACCGAAAACGGTTCCCACCAGGACCCAACAGGGCACCAGCACCCGCAGCCGGGTGACCAAAGCCTGGGGGATCCCATGAGGTCCCAGGAGGTTCGTGGGTCCCCCCAGCCTGGGTGGCACAGCTGGGGGGGCACCCCTGCATGCTGCTGGTGCACGCATCCCTCGTGTGTGGGCATGTGCGCACGCAGGGCCGCCACGTGCGCACACACGTGTGGCCCCGGTGGGGTTGGGTGCTGGTCGCCGTTCCTACCGTGGGGTGACCGTTGCCCGGCAGGAACCACGGCTCAGTGGGCAGAGCCGCAGCATCTCGGCCCCAGGGCAGGGGGTCAGCCCAGCACGGGAAGCTGGGGTGTCCAGATGAAGGAGGTTGTGCCAGGGCACGGGTCAGCGGTTTGGTGCCAGCCGGGGTTTGTTCATCGTGGGCTGTCGCATCGCAGGGCCGCTGGTGACACGGGCCTGCAGATGGCACCCAGCGGGGGGGAAGCAGCTGGGGTGCCCCGGCTCTGCTGTCCTGCTGCCCCTGCGTCACCGGGTCAGAGTCCATCCCGTGTCCCCGTGGGCCCTGTGTCCCCGGCCACGTGTGGCGCTGGGTGCGTAGAGCCGCAGCGCGGCCCAGGGCGTGCCTGGGGGCGACGGGGGGGCATGTGTCGAGAGGGGAGCCTGGAATCCCCTTGCCCCTCTCAGCCCCCCGAGGCAGTAGCAGGGGATGACCCCGTGCCCTTACATCATCCCCGTCCCACATTCCTGTCACCCTTTGGTGGTCCCATCTGCCTTAGACAGGGGAGTCTGCTGGGGAAACCAAGGCAGGAGCTCCTGGATGAAGCTGGGAGGACCCATGGCCCAGGCCCCTGCGTCCCTTCCCCCTGCACCCCAAAAGCTGGGAAGGGACCCAGGTGTGCCTGCAGCCCTGCAGGGGTAAAGGCTGCCCAGCGGGTGCAGCACTGGGCACAGTGGGGTGCAGCTCTGAGCATGCAGGCAGAGCACAAAGGACATGGGGTGCGGGGCCGAGCACAGAGAAGTGCAGCGCTGAGCGTGGGGTTGCAGCAGTGAGCACATGGGTTACAGCACTGAGCAAAAGGGGGTGGAGGGCCAAGCAAATGGGGAGCAGCATCGAGCACGTGCAGTGCAGCGCTGAGCACACAGGGTTGCAGGCCTAAGGATGCACTGGGGAATGAGCAGGCGTGGGTGCCTCTTGGAGATGCCTCCAGGCAAATGCACGCAGTGTGGGGACCCAACAGGAGGAGTCAGCAGCACTGCAGTGCTTGGAGGAACTGGCTGTGGCTTGAGATGGCATCTCCGAACCCCAGTGACCCCAAGACTTTGACTGGTGTCACCTGTAGAAATGCTGCTGTTTCTGGGGAAACAAGAAAGCTCATTTATGTATCAACATTTCTATCTGTAGCCGTATCTACAGGCTGTGGGCCAAGGGCTGTGGGACAGTTGTGTCCTGGGACTGGGTGATGCAATGGGAGATGTGGGATTCCCACCTGAAGGGCAGGAGCCCTATGCTGAGATCAAGCAACCTGGGTTGGATGACAGCCCAACAGCCACCAGCGCTTTGCTGCACCATTTGTCCTGTCGAGTGGCTTGCATGGGGACATGGCTTTGCTGTGACAGAGATGTGAATGACATGGGGAGAGGGGCTACCATACAAACATAGAGCCAAAGCACAGCTCAGCAGCACCACCAGGATACCTAAGCAAGAAAGAGAAGGGCAATCCCTGCAGGTCCAGCCAACACTGGGAGGAGGGAACCCCGGACCTGGAGCAGCTCTGCTCTTGCAGCTGCCCTCCCTGAGCAGTGAGGATTATGAGACTTAAGGCATTTATGGCACCGGCACAGAGGGAGCTGCTGGGAAACAACCTCGGAACTGCTCCAGCCCATGCCCATTTCACCAACAAAACCACAGGCCCCAATAACACGAGCAAGTCTAAATCCTGCATTTGATGCACCGAAGGTTTCCAAGGCTGTGGTTTCTCTGCTGGGTGCTAAGCCTTCCCCCGAAATCCTTCTGGGCATGGGGTGTTCCCCCTTTGCAGCAGGCTCCAGGGGGAGAAGCTGTGCAATTCCTGGAGCACAGGTGCCCCAAATGCCCATGGGATGGCACAGCAGAAGGGGAACAGGGTTCTCGGTGCTGCCGAGCCGAGTTGCTCTGCTTCAGTGCTCCCAGCCCCGGCACTGGCTTTGATCTGGAGGTTCCTGAAGGTGCCCCAACAGTCAACAGCGTCACTGGGCACTCCAGTGCTCGCTGACCCACCAGACACCCCCAAGTGTCACCAGCACCTCCCAGAACACTCCAGCACCCCAGCAGTCACCACCCCTGCCCATCCTGGCTCCACTCCTGGCCGATCCTCACAGACCCCTCTCCTTGCTCAGGTCTCCTCCAGTGTCCCCCTGGCCCATGTAATCTCCTGCCAGCCCCCCACCATCGCTCAGACCCACATGAGGGGACACCACCCCCGGCACTCCCAGAGCCCTCCATTCCTCCCCTGCCCTCGCAGCCCTTGCCTTGCCCTCCAGGTAAGCTCACATTCCCTCCAGCCCCCGGCACGTCAGATCCCGCGGTGTGCACCTGTATTGGGTTTATGTGCAAGGTAGCCAGGGAGAAGATGCCGGAGAAGATGCCAGAAGCTGTCCCCATGTCCAGCAGAGCCAATGCCAGCCGGCTCCAAGACGGATCCGCCGCTGGCCAAAGCCGAGCCTGTCAGCAGCAGTGGTAGCACCTCTGGGATACCATATTTAAGAAGGGGGAAAACCTGCTGCCCAACAACAACTACAGCCAGAGAAAGGAGTAAGAATATGTGAGAGAAAGAACTGCAGACCCCCAGGTCAGTGAAGAAGAAGGGGGAGGAGGTGCTGCAGGCACTGGAGCAGAGATTCCCCTGCAGCCTGTGGGGAAGACCAAGGTGAGGCAGGCTGTCCCTCTGCAGCCCATGGAGGTCCACGTTGGAGCAGAAATTGGGACTGAAGTTGAGCCTGGGAAGAAGGGAGGGGTGGGGGCAAGGTGGTTTTAGGTTTCCTCTTATTTCTCATTATCCTACTCTGTTGTTAGCTGGCAATAAATTAAAATTAATTTCTCCGACTCGGTTTTGCCCGTGACGGTAATTGCCAAGTGATCTCCCTGCCCTTATCTTGACCCACAAGCCTTTTGTTGTGTATTCCCCCCTGTACTGTTGAGGAGGAGGACTGACCAAGCAGCTAGGTGAGCACCCGGCATCCAGCCAAGGTCAACCCACCACACCACCCTGCTTGCTCACATCCTTTCCCCTCCGTGAGCACCCTCATCCCCTCCCTTCCCCTCTGCAAGCTTCTGGACCCCCTCCATGTCACCCATAAGCACTCATGTCCCTAGCCTTCCCCCCTCTGCACACCCAGAGCACATTGCTTCCCCTCCAAGGCTCCTCCAGCCTCCCACACGAGCTCACAGCTCCCCTCCATTCCCCGCAGTGCCTGTTCACACCTCTTCTCACTGCCCTCCGTGTCTGCTCTGATGCTCCATTTCTCCTTTGTTCATGCTTACATCCCTTTTATTCTCCAGTCTGCATCACTCACGTCTCTTTCCTTCCCCTCTTGGGATGCTCAAAGTCCCTTCCTTCCCTCCATGCGTGCTGACATCTCCTCCACTGACCCCTGCCTGAGACGAGATACTCTCTGCTTGCCCCTGTGTCGGATCCCTTCCCCTCCCAGGACAATGGCTCAGGTCTCCTCCCTTCCTCTCCTGTGGGCTCACACCTCCTCTGCTTCCATTGCCCAGCACTCACCTCTCCTCCGCTGCCTTCCAGGCACCTCATCTGCAGCCCCTGGGGTTGATCACATGCTGATCCTACCCTTAGAGAGCCCTGTGCCCCCAGGTGTCCACCATTTTCCTTTCTGGGTGCTCCCTTCCCCTCCCCTCCCCATGCCTGCTCAAGTCCCCCATGGGGCAAGACAGGGGTGAGCTGCTTGTGCATGGCCACCCCGGGGGGAGGCTGCTATGCCCATGTGCTGCTGTCCACCACCCCCCTGGATCTGCAGCACACCCTCCTGCCCGAATCCCTGCAGATCAACGTCCTGCCAGGCACGGGCTGGTGACTCCAGCTGGGAGCTGGCCCCACGGGGCTTTATTTGGCATTTCTGAGGGGGCTGAAGGCAGCGAGAGCAGGAGATTCTGCACCACCACACCTCTGCTCAGCCCCAGCACTGCTGACCTTGGAGTTTCCCAATCCTGGGTTTTCCCTAGGTCCTCCCAAGCATCACATGTCTGCAGTCATGCAGGTCTGTGCAGTTTGACTGCTCACGCCTCTGCAGTCATGCACGTCCGCGCGATTCAACTGCTCATGTCTCTGCTGCCCTGCCAGGAAAGCCTTGTACTTTTCCCAATGCTCTCGGAGCCCATCTTCCCCGCAAGCCTAAGGGGCAATCCAAAAGGCGTCCATGTGTACGTAGAGAGGAGGACAAGACATCCTGCCTGCTTCCTGCAGGGTCCGGTTCC